GTTAGAAGTATTAGATTGGATAAAATATTTTTAGTTAAAAAGTTAATCGAAAAACTTCCAGCTAAAAAATTTGCAACTGCTAAAGAGATAGTTCAATATTATCTCTTTCTACGAAAGTCAAAGAGTGAAGCAAAACTAAGGTTCCTCGTAGGTTGTCCGAATAAAAGTTCTTCTTTTATACCTAATTGTCCAGTTGATCAGTCTGACTGCTGCATACTGTCCAAACTAATGGTTCCTTGGATACTTGGTGGATTTAGAGTGCTTACAATACAAAAGTTAAGGTAATCTTTTCAATAAGTTCTAAATCATTTTAGTCCATGTTTAATCCATAATTGTATTATTATATAATATTTTTACAGGATTAAAATTGAGAAATTGTTGAAGGAATGGATGAAATTAAAAGATCAAAGATACAGAACAAATCCTGCTGAAATAAAAAAAAGACATTTATTTGAAGAGCAAATGAGTAAAGTATTTTGGATTGGAAAACATCCTAATGTTATGTTTGAGGAAATATTAAAAGATAAAATGAGAAAATTGAAAGACAAGGAAGAAGATATTGCTTTCTTAAAAGACCAACTGGATGAAAGAAAAGGAAGTCTTGGAGGTAGAGATAAAAGATATGAATATTCTGTAATCAGAAGTAAAAGAAGCGCAGCAAAGTTCAGTAAAAATCCGTCAGTAGAATTAAATAAGAATGATTCAGATTATCTAAGTTCTGCTAGTTATACTAGCGATGAATTAGGTGAAGAAACAGATATTGACTTTGATTTTAATGAGCATCCTAATGATCAAAATTCTGTTCTGCTTCCTAAAAATATCCTTCAGTCAACCGCTCATACAGCAGTGGGAGAAGGTATAACACCCCATCAACATACAGCATTGATTAGTAGTGTTATTGTTATGTCTGGTGGTTCTGTAGCAAACTTTAATTGTTCTAAATCCACATCTTATAGAGCTGCGGAGAACATAATATCTGCCAGGGCAAAAGAAATAAGAGAATACATAAAAAACATTGTAATATTATCAGATTCACTAATGACTATACACTTTGACGGAAAAATAGTTAATGAACTAACAGAGAGAAAGCAATTTAAAAAAGATAGAATTGCAGTTTTGCAAAGAATTGATAAAAAAACAGAACTACTTGGCATTCCTCCAATAGATTCTAGTTCAGGGGTTAATCAAAAGCAAGCTATAGTGGAATTGATGGAGTATTTTGGATTAAAAGATAAGGTCAAATGTCTCTGTTTCGACACAACTTCAGCAAATACAGGAAGATGGCAAGGTACTTGCATGAAATTAATTCAACAAGTTCAACGTCCATTGTTGTTGATTGCATGTCGACATCATGTAATTGAACGACACAAAGCCCATTTCTGGAAGATTTACCCAAGCAGCGAAACTTCTGGTCCAGAAAACAAACTATTTGAAGTTTTAAAACAAAACTGGAACAGTATAGATGCTGAAACTAAGGAACTGAAAAGAATAATAATACCACCTGGAAAATGGATATATAATCAAAAATTAGCTGCTGTTCAGTTTTGTAATAATGTGATCAGTTTGAAGATCTTCAAAAAGGTGATATTCTTATTTTTATTAATTTGATTCCTATTCTAACTTTCTAACTTTTAAAAAGTAACATTTATTACTAATTTAAAAGGTATCAAAAACATTTTAGGACATAAATATAAGAAAAGAATACCACGAGCTAGCTGAACTTACTTTAATGGTTTTATCATCAAATAGATTTAAATTTCATTTACCGGGACCAATTCACCATTCAAGATTTATGGGAAAAGGTTTATACTATTTAAAGTTGTATCTTTTAATGAATGAAATCCAAAACCTAACTGACAAACATAAGGAAGAAATAACTGGTATGGCTTTGTTCATAAGCCTTTTCTATACAGAGTGGTTTCTAAAAGCAGAGTTAAGTTCTTTGGCACCAACACAGGTATACAGCCTTTTAATATTTTATTAATAAGTTAGAAAGCTCAATATTGGTTAAAGTGATTCAAAATGTTAATTAATGTTATTTATTAGGATATAAAAGCTTATTGGCAAATGAAAAGGTTTGAGGAATGGAATCTACTTGGCTCTCGAGCTGTTGCTAACTCTATTCTCAGACATACTTGGTATCTGGATCCAAATTTAGTAGTTTTTGCCCTAGCAAATAAAGAATGTAGGGAACGTGGTGATATGGCCAAAAAACTATATAGTTTACAAAGATGTCCAAGTGAAAGTTTTCCTTTGGAACGCCAGGTAATGGACCAAGCTATATTGAATAGCCTCAACTTCAGTAAAGATGAGCCCCCTAGTTTGACTCCACTAGTAACAGAAAAGTCGTGGCTTGTTTTTGACATGCTTAGGCATGGAAAAGCAGAAACTCAATGGATGAAGACTCCACCAGAAGTTTGAAAATTTAATGATTATTATCTAGAATTTAGAGCAACAGTTAAGGGACTTGATGTTGTTAATGACTGCTCTGAGAGGGCAGTTAAGTTAGTTCAAGACCTAATAAACAGAGCATATTCTGAGGAGAAAAGGCAGGACACATTTCTATTTACAAATAGTTATAAGAAAAATAGAAAAGGCAGGAAAAAAACAGATTACGAAAAAGCCGCAAATAAAGACTAGTTTCATTTTTTTGTTTATAACAATTTTTCAAGAAAGAATAGAGAGGATCATAACTTCACTAGGATTTCTGTATTTTAATATAAAAGAAACTTTACCACTGATTTAAAATCTTTTACAGTTTTATACTTTTAATTTTTTTTAAGTTTGAGAACAAACCGTATGGTTTTAACTGTTGATTACAAAAAATCTTCATTCCCTGTCCAGGCCCTCCCTTTAATATATTTCTCAAAGTAACCCCTGAAACTGATATAAATGAGAAATCAATATAGTACTGTATTAAAAGTAAATAAAAACATAATGTAATTTTTAGGTTTTAAATATAATTTTAAAATATTTTGTACTTTTATAAGCTTTACTAAATATTTATGAATTTTAGGGTTTTTTGAAGCAATTTTTATAAATTTTTAATATTTTTTTGAGAATAGAGCCCATGTTATTTGAATTAATAAGTCTTTACAAACATAAATATATATTAAAAAAAAAAAAAATTAATGTCAAGACTTCCTACAAACAGTTTTAAAAATGGTACGAAATGCCCTAAAAATTGCCCCTTTTACCCCCTGAAGGAACCCTTAGAGTTTTCAAAAAAAAAAAAAAAAAATTTTTAGTATTAAATCATGGTCTGGGCAGATGATAAGCTAGGGCTCTTTTTTTTTTCAGACATGACCTATTTTTGAAACACTCTAATGTATATATACATATATAGTATATAGTATGTATATATTATATAAGCATATTATATATATGTATATGTATACATATATATATATATATATATAATATGCATATATAATATATACATACACTATATATGTATATATACATACATAATATAAATATATATAATGGATGATGTTTTTAAAAATAATGTTTTATCAAGTTTTTTTACCAATCCATGTGATTTAAAGAGTTTGAATATTTTTTATATTAAAAACTTTTTATTAAACTTTTAAAGATTTTTCTTGTAAAGTTGTATTAAAAAAAAATTTGTGCATGCTCCTTTAGTCCATGATATTGGTTGGTAGAAGGATCAACATAAAAATTTAGCAAATTTTAGCAACTGTATAATGTATCATAACATACAGTTTAAAGTTGTATTTATCTGTTAGCTATTTTACATGAACAAACTTTTAATATATAAGTATTTTTTCTATTATATTTTCTACTATACTTTTCCAGTTGAAAAAGTATTGTAGGGCATGCAAAATGTTCATTCGAGCTGTTTGGATAGAAAATACAGAGAAATAAAGAGAAAAAATTCAATGAAATGCATAAACCGCATCTAACTAATACAGATTTACGCTGCTCAAAATTAAATGTCATGGAGATAATGTAATTTTTTTTTATATAAACCTTAAGTAATTACTTTTTTTCCTTGTTTTTTAACATGCTTTCATTCTGTATATGTTGTTTTCAGGGTTTAGATATATTCTTTACTATATATTCTTTATTATATAATGTATTTAAAACATTTTTAAATTGAATGAATATTCTTAGATCATGAGTTATGTAATAAATTTGAATTTGCCTCTACTAGTGATACTCAGATAGAATCAGGTTCAGAAAACGGTAACTATTATTAAGAAAAGATTCTGAACATTTTTTTCTATGCTTCAGTGATTTACACATTTCTTTGGTTGCTAAATTAATACATTTTATTTAATTTATGAATAATGTTTTATTTTATAAATTTTTTGTTCTTGTGTTTCAATGCTTTTAGAAATTAATTAATGTTTGGTTCTTTTGTCTTTCTGATATATCTTTATTGTTAGAAAGAGATGTTAGTAAAAACTCTTTCCAGTAATTAAAGTAATATCATGACAAATAGTTCTGAAATTCTATGGATGAACTTGCAGCAGTAATTTAATCATTATGATAACAGTTTAAATGATTCATGGGTGAGGTCAGAAGTGATGGGTTGTTTCAAACCATGACTTTTTGCAGGTTTTTAAATTGTTTTTTGATTAAGTATTTATTAATAACTTAGCCCAAGTTAATCTACTTGTAACTTTTTATAAATGTACTTTAAAAATATTGTGGTGTAATTATTTTCTTAAACCTTTAGGTTAACAAACTTTCTAAAATTGGAGGTAAAACCATTAAGACAAATACAAATAAATGTGATGCAAAGGTTTGTTAAAAGTAGTTTTAAATAAAAAATCTTTTGAACCTTTTTATTATAGTTTGTTTTGTTGATTTTTTGCAATGACATCGCAAATGGCGGACGCTTTTTTCAAACGGATAAAAACAACTTTTTTAGAGAGGAAAAAAGAAAGAAAAGAAAACATTTATAAATTAAGCCAATAATAAAATCAACTAAAAATAAATATTTTAAAACAAGAAAAGATCATCTGAAAGAAAATAAATAAAGAAGTATAGAAAATAGAAGTAAAGAGAAAAAGTTAATGAATGAAATAAATAAAAAGAATGGAAAAAAAAAAAAAAAAAACTTTATGCATCGAAAAATGATCGGAAAATGAAGATTTTTTAATTTTTTTATATATTTCTTTTGTTTTATTTCATATATTTCTTTAGTTTTTCATACTTTTTTAAGATTCTTTGTTTACGATTTCATTTTTTATTTAAGCGGTCTTGTAGTATTGATTTTTCTTTAGTTTTTTAGCGTATAAAAATTTACTTATTATTTTTTGTTAGTCATTTATTGTTTTATTTTTTAGTTATTTAATTATTTTTAAATAGTGATATCTAATTTTTTATAGTGTTATATATTTTTTGTTTTTATTTTCGTTTTAAGCATTTGTTATAAATGTTTTATTCTACCGTGTATTATTATTACTTTTTTTTTTCTTTTCTTTCTTTCTTTATTATTTCTTATTTATGTTGTTCTTTTTTTGTAGTTGTTGATGTTGTTTTTTGTTTTTATTGCCAAATGAACTTAACGTAAATTTTTGTTTTGCTTGAAAGGTTTGTTGTAACTTTTGTTTTGCTTTAATTTTCTCAGTATTTTTCTTTTTTGCATTCTATTTATTTGCTTTGTCATATTATTTGCAATATATTTCGGTTATTATATTATAAGAAAAATATATTTACTAAATCTGTGTAATTTTAGCAGTGGTTGTTTTTATGTCATCGTTAGTTGTTACGTTTTGTCAGGTAATTACTGTTTGTAACTGTAACTTTGTATGTAATAACGATTGTTGTATGGAAAATTTTACTGATTTATTTAAATTATTTTAATTAGTATATTATTATTACTATTGTTAAAATAAAATGTTATTATTATTATTTATTATTATTACTATTATTATTATAAATATTATCTTTATTATTATTTTATTCGTTATCATTAGGTGTTTACGTGAAGTTAGTAGTTTATACTATTTGTAAACAACCTTGAAATGTATGTAAGACCAAATATTTCAGAAAATATATATTGATATTGATTGATATTGATATTTAAACTTGTGTTAAAAATATGTGTAGCATATATTTTTAAAAGTTTGACGTATTCTAATCAGACATTAAATAAATCTTTTTTTTTTATGTCTGATTATAATTTTTTTTGTAACTGTTTTCTCCTACTTTTGTATTTCCTTGAGCTAAAGAACAACCTTGAAGTACAAAGGTTGATTTGTAACGCATACTTAACCTTTTTTTTTACTCTATACATACATACATATATATGAACATAAATAAACATACATATATATGTTTGTATATATACATACATATGCTTATATGAATATATTATATATATATATATATATATATATATATATATATATATATATATATATATATATATATATATATATATATATATATATATATATATATATATAAAGTATATAAATAAATATATAAATAAAGTTGAACATTTTGAATATTTATTGAATATTATGATAAATTATATAAAATATATATAAAGTATAAATATTTTGCAAAAACACTTTTATTTGCAATAACTGCTTCATTGCATTGTGGCATGCTTGCAATTTATTTTTTATAGTTTTTTTCTACTCTGGGTTATTATGCCAGATCTTGATAATCTCTTCCATAAGATCTTGCTTATTAGTAGGATTTTTTTTTTCCAGTCTTTTGCTTTACTATTTCCTAAATGTTTTCTATGGGGTTAAGATCATGCGAATTGTCTGGCCATAGCAATACATCAACTAAGCCATAACAGTTTTTATTGCGTGGCATGTTGCACCATCTTGCATAAATATAAGATTTCTGACATTTTTTAAAATATTTTTGAATTTTTTTTTCACTTTTTGACTTTTTTGGCTGGACATCAATCTCTCTTCTTTTTAGCCTTCTACAAATGGTCCGGTCTGACACAACAATTACAGCTTCATGGATAAGCTTAGTGGCTTTTTTTCTGTTTTCCAGGCAGATATTTCTGATTATACTGTCCACTCTTGGTGTTTTCTTGCGTTTAGAAGGTGGTCTCCTTGGACCAAACTCTTCCCCTGTATCAATTCTTTTTCTTACTTGCATTACGGTTTGGTAAGAAACCTTTGCGATTTGTGCAATTTTTTATTGAGAATAATTTGTATTTTGTAAAAGACATGTTTATCAATTTTTAATGTAACTGTAATAATAATAACAATGTATAATGCAGGTTGTTGACCAATGGTTTATAATCGAAATTTAATATGGCTGGCGGTAAAGGTAAAGAGAAGTTTAAAGGAACAAACAGTATTTACTTGTAAGTTAAGTGTAAAATTGTATATTTTTTAAAAATCACAGTTCGTTTTTTTAATGCTATTTTATTTTTTAACTTTTTGATGTATTTGATGGAAATTACTCAGGCAATACCTTTTTTTATAGAGAGCGTTTTGTCAATTAAAGTGACTGCTACAGTTGCCGAAATAAGAAAAGGAATAATGACTTTAT